ACTGTATGCTTGGATAATTTGATGAGCAAGACACATGCATGAAAGCAACACACCATAAACCACTGCATAATGATTATATAGACATAATTTCACGAGTAAAATTGAATAACAATTACCAAATTATCTTTATTATTATTATTTGCTGCAATTTTTAATAAATTTCCTTCAAGCATCTATGTCCACGTTTCAGAATTCTGAATTTCTCATTTTTGGTCTTCTCCAGAATTTCTACAAATGACATCTTCATTACACTAATTGGTATCTCCAGCAATGGAACCTGGCATTCTTAGACTATTGCCCAGCTTATTTACAACAGCTAACTGCAACACAGATACCACTAAACTTTGTTTTTAATCAAGCCCATATTCAATATTCCAGTGAATATTCTAACGCATATTGTCGTGAATTTCATTTAAGGCAAAAGCGTATGAGTCGATTCCACACTGAAAAAAATCGTTTTAAATTCAGAAGTTTTTTTATCTGTCCAGCAGCATTAAGATTTGATGCGTGAAGGAAATGCTTACTTCTTTGAGACGTGCCGCCTTTTGGCACAGCCATATGCTTCTTACCAATAATAATAAAAAGAAACCATACTCACCAGTTTTATTGTCAATTCATCCTGAAGCATTGCAGAACCAAACAAATAGATTAACTCATTATTTCTTCTCATCTTTGGTGTCTTATTTTTTATTCTTAATGGAAAAAGAAGGCGACAGGGTCATCTTTTTAATGGGGAAAGTGCGCACTAAAGTCATCCCGTTTGCAACATAATGAGCAAACTACCCACTCAATCTGGAACCTTTAATGGAAAGGTCCCCCCTCTGGGTACTTTCCCATCCCTAGATCATTATATGAGGCCAGTGTGATGGCACAAATGTAGTTGAAGCCCGCGCGTGGAGACCCTGGGGTTAGGAACATACGAGAGCGTGTGATACGTTTATTTCTTGCGCTCTGTTAGTGTCTGGCCGCTTGATTACTGTCATCATGCTCATGGGTTTATACTTTTACTTTATGGAGGAAAAGCAGAACTGAACTGAAACATCATGTGTAGAAGATCTCTTAACCACCTTTATTTGATCAAGTAGAGCCTAGCAAATGACTTCGTGCAGAACACAAGATTTAACTTTAACTTAGAATATCACGACTATGAGCATTTGCATAACTTTCGTTTTCGCAATGACAGTACATTACCGTACATGTTCTTTTGACGTGCAGTATTTATCGAATTCTAACTAAAATAGTCAGATAACAGTAATTTATCTTTTATAGAATTTTTTGCTGAATGCATAATTCTTCCCTAATCTTGGTGCACTACGCGAATGATTCAAAATGTCAGAGTACAAGCAGCTACGAAAGATGATTAATTTCGTTATTATACTGTCGAAATATCACATGAAATCCGTTAAGGCATCTATCAGCTGGTCTGGGTAAAATAACAGGATTCACCATAAACAAAAATAGTAATCAAGGCCGAGCCTAGCTTTGAGGAACACTGTCTTTGAAAGATCTGAAGAGTCTCTGTCACTGTAAAGCTTAATTGTTCAGATTTAGTACCGGTGCTGACAAAATATTTCGTTTTTTTCAGGAAGACTTTATTGGACTGTGTCTTTTTCTCGTAAAAGTCCATGCAATTTGTATAAATTGCAATTTTCCACGTAAATGGCAATAACTAACACAATTATCTGACGAGATAGGTCAACAGCTGAAAGTGTCCAGGTGCAATCTCCTTGAAACAGATTTATACTCCATTGTTTTCTTCTTTGCTACTATAAAACCATCAACTAATCACAACTAGTGACTGTAAGGTAAGAAATGAATGGGGACATTACAAGCTACATGTGTCAAGAATATTGACAGCATAAAACTTACAATTAAATGACTAATTGTTTTCTACAATGTCAAGCCGCTTCCCTCTAGCTCCTGTGCCCTCCCAAACCTCTCACATAGCAGCGAATTTCCTTTCACGGTTTTATTTTCTGAGAATGTACACAGACACAATTTCTGTGGAGCGGGTAACGCCCCAGGTACATAAAACCCGTATGACTTCCTATGCTTGATTAAAGGACGTGATCTCATGAGCGAAAACCCAAGCCACGCGTTTAACTATCAAGTGCGCCTATTACCCTTGATCTCAGTACATCTATCATTGTTTCGCGGGTGAATCTAAGGACAAAGGACAAAAAGGGCGCCATTCATCTTCGATCATCAATATCTAAAATAGCTTGCTTTATTGCTTAAGTTCGATACAGGCAACAGAACAGATACCTGTTGATACGATGGAATTTCGAAGCACTGACGTTAATCCGCCATATCCTGCCTCACGTTCACAATGGCGTGTGATCGATCTCCTCACTGACACAAGCGGTTATTGTGAGGTTTTATTGCATCCTTCATTATTGCCTTCAAGGAAAATCACTGTATTGACAAGCCGTTTAATTACTGTGGCCGGCGGTAACGTTCACCTCGCGTGTAAAGAACAGGAAAGAGCGAGGAATCGCATCTTAATTATTATACCTGATCACGTTGGGAATCGGATTTTTTGGCACGCGAAAAGTTTTTTATTTAATAATTCTAGGTATTCCAGGTAAGATTGGCTGCGCTCGGATTCTGAGAATACCCACTGGCCTATTTCATAGGTGGATCGGATTCAAGACAAACATTTTGTAATTAACGCTACGCATATGGTTTTTTTAGCAACTTCATGGTAATCAAAATAAAGTACACAAGAGATCGTGTGCAACAACACGTAACTTCTCGGAATTAAATTGGCAACAGAGAAAAAGAGTTTCAAAAGAAATTAAGATCAGTTGGTTGGAAAAGTTGGGGGGTTTATCGATATATCAAGAAACTTGTCTTTAGAGGACTTAAAGTTGCATTTAGGTACATTAAAAGGTTCCTGACCACGTGCAGTATATAGGTGAAAAGTTGTCAGAGTATCAGAGGACACCTTTGGGGGAATTCAAAATAAATTTTCCATTACAACTGTTCCATTACTGTTTTCGAATTCGAGACCAAACAATACATTTGAACTTCATGTTTAAGAATTCAGTCTTTTCGGTTTTAAGTGGTTGTGAATGTTAAGGACCTTATTGAATTATAAGAGCTACAGTTCGTATTGGACTAATTTTATCATGTCGAAGATATTTCCCATCAATGATATATCGACTTACAGGCTCAGGAGAGAATTCGTGCAAATACATCATGAAATGAGCATATATCGTACTTGTGATATTCTCCCTTCATTGCCCTGGGTCACTTATTCATTCCAAACTCCGTATCCAAATAATCAAAAACCATTACCTTCTTTCGACATCACAACTAACATAGCTTCTAGAAGATACATAATGTCAATGTGAAAATAAAAAAAAACTTTTATACAGTATTCCAAAAATGTTACCCATTCTGATTGTAGTTTCTTCAAATGTGAGTACTGTTTAATAATTAATGAGAAGCTCAATCCATGCACCGCGTAGCAAATAGTTACGTCTAATAGTTTTGTTAGATAAGGGTAGCATCCGACCTACGGTGATAATTTTTAGCAGATAAATTGTCAATAGAATGTTAACACAGCCTTCAATCCCTTTAACCCCCCCCCCATAAAAAGATATAACTGTAAATAATTTTTTGCATAGGCAGAACGCAATAGACAAGATAGAATAGCATAAGACGACGTATGAGCAAGGCCACTGTATCGATCGTCTCAACAAGATGAAACCACAGTGACATTTTAATGACTCTTTCATTATGTGGCGTCGACCCGACCAGAGCACAGAGTAGTCGTAGAATTTGAAGAATGCATCTAGACTCCAATTAATTTTCACGTGTTTACCTCAACACAAAGCATTTATGCAACGTTCATGTGAGGTTGTAAGAAAACCCGTCTTATAGAACAAGTTAAGTAAGTAAATGTAAAATAAATTAAGTAAGAACTATATATCTGGGGAAAAAGAAATTACATTTTATAGTCAATAGGGATTCTTCCAAGTAGAACAAAAACGATTTTGACAGTGCCCTCTATCCAACAATCACTGAAGATGAAAGAACATGTGGTACAGGTTTGATTTTTCTATTTGCTCACAATCAGACTGGCAACACATTAATGCAGGTGTACCACAAGGCACAAAACTTGGTCCAATTTTATTTGTCATTATGATTAACGATCTGAGCACCAAATGTGACACATTCAAATATGTACATGTAGATGACACCACATTTCTAAGCTACGGGAATACCGAACTGCAGGACAATCTCCCTGATGCAACAACAGAACTCACTCTCTGGACCCATGCTAATAAACTAACAATAAATACTACCAAGACCAAAGAGATCATATTTGATTTCTCCAAAAAAAGGACACAAAACTACACCCTTACTAGTAGATAATCAAAGAATTGAGAGAGTGGGGTCTGCTGCCTTTTAAGGGTAAGGATCAGTAGTGATATGAGCTGGGAAGGTCACATCTGTAATATTTGTTAAAAAGCAAGTAAAAGGCTACACAATCTTAAACTTTTGAAAAGAGCGGGCATTCCAACCAATGAACTTGTAAGCTTTTACACATCAGTAATCAGACCTACAATAGAATATGCATGTCAGGTGTGGCACCCAGGTCTAACACAACAACAAGTTGATAAAATTGAATACATCCAGATAAGAGCATGTAAGATTATATTCCCAGAGCTGCCCTATGATGTAGCACTTGAAACGTGTAAACTCATCACTCTTGTTTGTAGAAGAGATGAACTATCTAAAACATTATTGCATGACATGTACTCCAAAGGACACAAAATCCATCATTTGCTACCAGAGATAAATGAAAGTTCTTACACTTTGCGCCAGGTTTATAAGTTCACTGTGCCAAAACTGAGGACTGAACGATCATCCAAAGCTTTTATCCCATGGGCTTTATCAAATTTTAAGAACTGAGGCTTTTATGAAGTTTTAATGTGTATCGAATCATTTTAACACTTACAAGTATATTTTAGGATTGTGCATCTCACCACTATTTGTTTTTATTGTAAAATCCAACTTTTTAAGTCGCAAATAAATACATATTATCATTATTATTATGTGTATTCTCCAAAGGTTGCAACTTACGATATCTTTAACTTTTAACCTTGTCTTATGCGACTCTGCATTAACAATACATAAAACACTTGACATTTTTCTTTGTTTACCATATCTAGGGGAAGATACTTTATGAATCAGGAAATTATCTGGTTTAGCTGAGCACAGCTGACTACAGTGAGAAATGCCCACGTCAGAACAGATTCTTTTTCAGTCAATTCCTTAAAATGTTAAATTTTTAATTTTATGAAAAAAGAAAAAAAAAGAAGCGTCTTGCATGTCACAATTAAATATTGCTGTCAAAAGTCTTATAAATCTAATGGTTGTCCTAAACTTATGACCAGTTTTTTCAATTTTTCATCTTCTGCCCAGTGTATTCCACTGCCAAGTATAAGTCCCTGCAAAACGTGGCGTTGCATTTCTATCTTACTGCATTCCTCTTCTAAACTACGCTTAGCACTGAAACAAACAAAAAAGTGTCATGAAAAAATCAATAATTGACCATAACAGCATAACCAAAGTTGTTGAACACACACAATAGGCTAATAAAAAACTTACATTTCAAATGTAGCTAATTCCATAACATGCCTGAGATGTTTGAAAAATGTCAGTGTATACACTATAACAGGTCCGTAGGCGATGGGGGGAGGGGGGGGGGGGGGGGGGGAAATGTAGAAAGAGCCACACTTTTTGAGGGAAAACATCTGCTCTGCATCAAAATTTAGTTAAGATTCTATGTTATTTTCCAAGTTGGGTCAACTAAGAGGATACAAAGGTCCACTTTTTCAGACCCCCACCTTTTAAAATTGCTGGCTACAGGCCTGTTTAGTGAATTACAATAAAAATACACAATATATAAGTAGTTGAATTCATTCCAAAATTTATGACATAAGTGACACAATTAAATGCTTACTCCTGTATTTCCTCATTTTGTTGAAAATCTGCACCCCTTTGTTGTTTCTCTTCATTCTGTTTTTCTGCTTGGGCAAGCAGCTCTCTGCACTGTTTCATCATTTGCAGGCGATCCTTTTGATAGCATCCGACAGTTACATGCATGGTCTGCATAGCCTAAATATTATATATAAAGAAAGCCTTTAATATGTTGTAAGTGACACTTTTGAACATAAATAAAAATATATAAACATTCTCAATCACATAGCTGTGGTAAATGTAGTCTTTTTCACACTTCTTGTCCATCGCTAAAATACCTACTTAGTATGTTTGGTTACAAGTCAACATTTATGTTGAAATATCAGTGAGGAAAGAGTAAGTAAAGACAGCTATAATTTTTTATGCATAGACATCTTAAACATCACACTCACTTTGTGGATGCCTAAAATCTTGGTTACCAATTCCATCTGCCTTTGTACAAGAGGCAAAAGGGATCTGCAAACAATGACATAATTACAAATTCAAAAATATTATCTGTATCTGTATACACCGACAAATACTGATACAATCTAAAAACGGCAGAGTCAAGCTATGACAGTAGGCAATGTGACCAAACACTAAAAAACGGGAAAAAAATTATATAAAATATTTTTTCTCATTGTATATACTGTACACATCTAATGCATGGCTCACATTCAGACCTTACAACTTACTCTGTCTCTTTGTTTCTGGTAACTAAATCTCCAGCACCTTGATCCCCATCACATGCAGAGAGCAAGTTCTGTGATAAACATTCTCCTAACTGCATTCTGAAAGATGGCAGATGGTTGTAAAAACATGGACATTTGTTTAATGATATTAAATGCACTGATATTCTAATAAAAGACAGTATATGTCACAAGGAGCAGCATTTTTCTAGTTTAAAAATCTTTTATCGAAGAATACCAACAGATATCAAATCATAATTTATATTAGAGGACAATAACTGGACAAACCTTTTAACAATCTGTTCCTTTTGTTTGAGGTTAGTTGAGGCATCCAACAGTTCCTTCTGCAATTCAGTTATCCTGGAAAGCAATTTGAAATGTGCTTACAAACAAGAGTCCATCATATTTTCCATATACTGTATCTACACCGCATGATGTTGGAAAGCTTTTTCTTTTACCAGCGATCGAAACCACAATACTTTTCTTAAATATCTGTTTGATGTAATCTATAAGCATTTGTGTATATAAAGTTTTTAATGAAATTATTTTTCTGCTATATATTTATAAAAGTCAACCGCTTTGAATCTCAGACAGAAGAAGAGTGGGCAGTTTTTAATATTTCTCCACATACATCAAATGACTCTTATTCTTTGATTACATGTACGATCTACACAACCATTCCGACTTTAAAAAATATTTTCATACCTCTCTTGAATCTGGTCAATGTTATTTCCTGGTCTGGCACTGTCTTTTGCTGTGGATAAAATCCAAATGATAAAACAATTGCGTTAAATTTTAATGATTCTACCGTACGTTGATAAAATTTGACAGTAAAAACTACAATAAAGGACATGTGTTTGACACTTTCATTTCTACTAAAGCAAAATAATGCAAAAATAATTAACTGAAGAGGAGAGGGGATTTTTCAACTACATACCACTTTCAAGTTTTGCGTGGTAATCTACCATCACAGTATTTAGCCATTCCCTGGTTTTTTGTAACTGAAGAATTATTTCATCTGCGCTCAACGATATTTCTTCTTCCGACTGTTCTGGTGAAGACATTTCGACACTATTTTCAATAGAATAGAACGTGCTCGTAATACTTAAATATCTTCAACACATAACATTAAAATGTCATTCATTTGTCATTTGCATCATTTGTTTTTCAACTTTCAGCTGCATAACATAAAATTTCCGCCAAGTATCCAGCCTAGTTCTGAGGTTAAATACACCGGAATAAAAGCGTCTCCACCCTTGTAAAAGCAAAAAATGTATTTTTTACTTTTAATAATCAATAAAACAGGTTTTATTTATTTAGTAAGTACTCAAAATTTTACTGTACATTTAGATATATTAAAAATATCTCATTACACTCATTTCAATTAATAAGGAACGAGTCAAAAATTACCCATCATGCAAGTCGGCAGGAAGTTAAGTCAGGAGCGGCAGGTTTGAAAGTCTTGCAAATTTAAAGATGCTGAGAATTCAGATTTGACCTAAGTCCTGCATGATGAAAACTGGTTTAAAAAACTGGTATGTCTTATGCAAGTATTTTCACGTAACACACTGATCCAGGTAAATGCAATCAATCTATAATTGAACACAACACCCTTTGCCGTAGCCTTCTTTGGATGAAACTTAGATCTACGAGTTAATGTCACGAGTAATGCAGTGATGAAAAAAGTGAATAAACAGAAACAGATTTTTTTGCAAATTTTGAAGTGATATTAATGGCATGATACAAAGTTATGGTACAGAGACGCTTCAATGAAAGGGGATTAAATGGGCACCCTTGAATTGCTTCATATGCAAGTTAATTTTTTTTTTCATTTTATTTTCATGATAAATCAATTTATCTCATTGCAATACATAAAAATAAGTATCTTAATTTACAGATGTGTAAATTAGCTGTAAACAATTTTAGGGAAATATTTCAACACTGAAAATGTCAGCAATTACCAAGTGCAAAATTATTGGGCGAGTGCAATCTGCAAAGAATGAGAATGAAGAAAATGATACCCCAGGCACTACAAATAGTAACACTAAAGTCAAATTAAGACCCCCATTTACTCCTATACATGGGACACTATATAACATTAGACAAAGGTTGGAAGAAAGGCTCTCAGATACACCAGCAGAAGTGGAAGACAAAACTAGTCCTGGATTGGCAAGGTTAAGGAAAACACCAGGTCAGGCAGCTGAGGCATATCATTTTTAAATTGATTAATATATATTGAAACTTTATTACAACTAAATGTCATGTATTGTAGCATATTCTTTTGTGGATTATTTTAATATTTAACTTTTCTAATGGCCATATATTTTCAAAAAATAGTTACAGGTTACAGTTACATGTAACATGTTATGTATTTTTTATTGTGGTGCCTGATTGTTTGATGGTATTTGTTACACCCTTGTTCATATTGTTTTACACATATTTTAACACTTTGAAGTGTGCACATTTGATGAATACATATTTAACAAAATTTCAGCCTGTATAAAGGCACGCCAGCAATCTCTCATTCGGAAGCACCAAGTGGCCAAAGATAAAATTGACAATCTGAATGTAGGGGGAGGGGTAAGCATGTGGCCTCAGATGGAAACTATGAGATTGACCCAAGGTGAAACCTTGCAGCTCCTGGCAGTGTGCATTGGATTGTTCACTTCAACTGTGGTGCTTTTTTATTTTTTGCATGGTAAGAAATCACACTAAGGGACCATTCCCAGACCCTATCGAACTAACTGTGGATTGATCTATCTCTGAGGGGATTCGCACTAAATTGCAATCAACTTAAGTGGCTTAGATGTCTGTCACCCCTGAAGCTGCTAGGAGGTAACTAATTATCCTTTAGCAGTTTCAGTAGGCGTGCTAGACATTTAAGCTGCTCAAGCTGAAAACAATTAAGCAAGAAACCCCTCGGAAAGGGATTGATTCTGTTAGATCAATCTAAGTATAATGAAAACCCAGTCTAAAGAGTTGATGCTTAAATAAGGCCTTTTTACATTAAAGTACCAAATATGTTTCTAAGAGTAGACATTTTTTAATCAAATTAAATGAAGCATCAGATGTTTTATTTTGAAGTCATTGATTTTATAGAATTATACTTTCATGTCTTTTTGATAAAAGAAACAAAAATGTGCTTATGTATGAAGTCACTAATTAATAAAATGTGACATGTTTCTAGGATAAAATGATCTACACCCTCCTTTGTTTCAGGTTCAGAGTTACAAAGACTGAAATACTATGACAGAGAACTGCATGAATTCTATAGTCAGCACCCTCTAGTTGTTAATAAAGACAATTATAGCTTTACTGCAAGTGTGCTTAAGTGGCATACGAGTTACGGAAGACTTTTAGTAAGTAACTGTGGGAAATAGAGATACACCAAATTGTGCGATTCCGGAAGCATACATACTAACATTAGCAGTGCACTTATGTTAATCCTATTTGCAAATATTGTGTGCAAGTAGGTTATTTTAAATTCATTTTAGGCAAAGCAGAAATACAAAAACACAATTGTATTGAATTATCTGTATTACATGTATTTTAAAGCCAAAACATACATATGCTAACACAGGAAATATTTTTTTCGTTTTTTTATGTTTAGGCAGAGATTCAAGACTCCTTTGCTATATCCCTAATGGACACTCCGTGGAGTTACAAATTATGTGTGTTACTCTATGTCTGTGGGATAGGAATATTGCTGTATTATTTGATGGACAACATGGTTGCGAAAAGCAAATTGACACCAAGAAGAATTAAGAAATGGTGAGTTTGTAATGGTTATCAGTGAAGAAAAAAGGCATTATCATGCTGAAGTGTCAATGATTTCTAGAAAGAACAGATCTGGATATAAAACTTCATGCTTGCACACCAGTTCATTAGCTTTGTAAATATAAGATTTGAAATTAAAAGTCAGAAAAGCTGTGATTCTTTACATTAAGATTTTTTGTTACTTGTCAATATGTTATGAGTGTTCATTTCAGTTTTCTGTAGCATGTTATGACTTTCCTTCAGGGTTTCCCTTCTGACAGTAACTGCTACCTGGACTCTACTAATGTTAAAGCTGTTGATCTATGCTCTGAGGGTTGAACTGGCTGTAGAAAGCAATGTCCATATGCTTATGAAGGAATTGGTAATTAGAAACTTTTGATACTTTTAGCATTTTATGAGAACCATATAATTTTATAGACAAGATGAGGGGCATATTTACATCAGGTTGTCTACCTGATTGTTCATTTTGCTCTATTTGTCTGTTCTTTGTCTTGTTATGTCAGAAAATTTGAAATTGAAGGGATCTAGGACCCTAAAATTCGGAACTCTAGCCTTAAATTGGACTCCTGGATGAGAAAGCAAGCGATCCACGTTGACAAAATAGCAATTAACTTTATTTACTTATTATTTCAGGGCCAACTCATTCCAACTGACCTGGATCTAGGTAAACTTCAAGTAGTCCTTCAATACTGGAGTATGCACTGTTTTCCACCAACATCGCAAGGTGTACTAAACATTATGGGAATACTTTCTGTGCGGGATGTAACCTACTATTTACAATACTACAGCCTTCCGATTGTAACTGCTTTAGTCACCCCTGTGCTGAAATTAGTGGTTTCTTTGAAAGAGATTTACAGTGACAAGAAGAAGACATGAATTAGGCCTATTATTTTGGAAAATCTTTGAAGTTAAATATTTAACTGTGAAGTTAAATATGTTCCCACATGTACTGAACAGTAAAGAAAATTTGTTTCTCACATGCAGACTACTTAATGTCTTTGTCATACAAGCTGCTACAGAATGCTGTGTACTGAGTGAACTCCCTGGAGTTACAAATTTTGTGTGTTATTCTGTCTGTGAGATAAGAATATTGATGTACATGATGACAGGGAGTTCATGAATATTTAAAGCATTTTATGGTTGAAAACCAGTTTAACCTGAACCAAGACTAATTTGCAGAGCATAAGTGCCTTTAGTCCCATAATATGCCAACTGTTTAATTTATTTGCTTGTAACAATGTTTGCTATTTCATTTACTAATGAGATTTATTAATAAGGGAGATCTACACAGGTCTGTGGAGTTCAAAGAATCATAGAATTATGTAGACTATGCCCACAGTCACCCAATATTGCATGGGGGGATGATCCCCTCCCCATCTTTGCCAGTTGCTTTTGCCAATTGTTTTCAGACAATAGCATGATTTGCTGCAAGCACTGCTGCTTATATATTATCATAGGTGGCATTCACAGGGGCGGATCCAGAGATATTTTCTGACAGTCTTCCACATTATCTTTGTTGATCCATCCTCCATTTTTTTACCGTCTTCCGACAGAAAAAATTAGGTACTCATCAATGTAAACTTTGAAATTTGACCGTCTTCTGGAAGACCCAGAAGACAGCCTCAATCCGCCCCTGATTCACAACAGGTGATATATTCGGATTTACTGGTCCGTGGATCAAACATGGCATACCCTACATGAAAGCAAGACTGCCTAATCCCGTAATGGTCTCCCCACCTCCATACCCGCCTTCCCTTGATGGGCCTAGCAATTAAACCTCGAAGCCAAATATAATCCCTGTGGAGGCAGGAAGACCATTAAAGGATTAGACAGTCTTGCTTTCATGTAGATTCCACCATATTTGATCCGCAGACCAGTAGATCTGAGGATCATCTGTTCAGAATGCAACCATATTGAGACATCAATGTATGTATATAGTTTCATATGTTTACATGTTTGTAAGTTTTGCTTCTTGTTATATTTTCATATTTTAGAAGGTTTTCTGCCATTTTCAATGTGCATGCATTTTTATGGCCCTTGTTGAAAAAGAGTGATCATTGCTGTAGCAATTTCAAGTTTTTCAGAGCCAGTACTTTCTAACTAACTGTGTGAGCCTTGTGTCAGCTTATTAGTACTTGGAAAGCAAAATAATATCAATCTTCATTTGAAGTATTTCATTACGGAAATAAAATTTCAGTACATTTAACTGCCAGTATTTCCAGAATAAAATTATCTCATTAATTTCAATTGCAATAATAATTTAACAGCAGTGACACATGAAATATCAGTCATCTCAGGGCAGTAGTAGGAACAGCATTAAACATGCCACATTTAGGTTTGCAATTCTTTTGGCCTTCATCATGTATTAGTCAAAGAAGAAACTAGAGTTACTTGGCAATTTTCATTTGAAACGAATATCAACTTTTAATTACATGAATGTTACACTGAAAGGTTTTTTTGTCACATAATGTAGATATATAAACCAAATGAGAAAACAATTTGAAAATATATGATGTATTTATTCAATCTCAGCTGTTAAAATGGCAATTAACACAGTACACCATCATTAGTACAATGATTGAGATATTTCACTTATATTTATAAAACAATTACAAAAAATGCAAACACTTAATAATCATTAAATATTATGACTAACAATAAAATAACATAACTTAGCACTTTGTGCATATTTTTTTCAAAAAATAGCAGCTGCGTGTTCCGATTTCACTCAAATAACAATAACAAGTTACAAAAAACCTATCACTTATCAGTATAAAAAGGGGAAATGCATATAATTTTTTTGATACATAAATAAACTGGCATATCCTAATTTTATCTAATAAATTGCAAAAATGAGCAAGTTTTTCATATCATAATAGAAAATCTTGATTTCTGCCAATTCATTCTGATGATTGCAATCTTAATTTTACAAACTAGGGGTTGAAATGTGCATACTTTTCAAAAAAAAAATGCATTTAAATTAGATTCAATCCACCTATTCAAAGTGTTAAAATGTCAGCATCGCTGTAATTCATGTAGGATTTTTCTTGCCTGAACTAATTGCACATTGGTCATTTCTGTCATGGTTGATGTACAGTATGTGTACAAACAGACCCCACTCTGGGATATCTACTAGTAGGGTCCCAAGTGATATTAAACATTACTTCTTTTTACTGTGGACCCTCAGCTGTGAAGAACACATGCTCCAATGAGTCTGATAGCAGGCAATGGTCATCAAGTATAAAGTTTCTGAAATATTCTAATGTTATATAAAACAGTTTACTATGGCAGGGTAGATAGTACCATCTTCCCCATTAGTGCTAGTGGTGTCCAATAGCAGCAAGTGTAAAAGGGCGATTCAAAGCAATTACTTAGATCTAGGCTTATTTTAATAAAAATTAGAATTTTTGATGTAGGTCACGTTTCAAGAAACCATTGTAAAATATGCAATCTGATTCAACTCTACAAGATAGTTTTTCATCCACTTTGGACCGGTTATGGAATTTCTTTGAATTTCATCTCTCCAGATTCCCTTTGGAAAGTAGATGTCCCTGGTCTTTTTTGACTTTTCTAAAATTGGGGCAACAAGGAGGGTCTCCCCTACAAGAAACTCAGAATCAATTGTCTGTGCAGTGTCATCATCTGGAGCAATCCACCACAGGGGTTGGATAATTGGAGGGCATATTTGAGAACAATTCAAATCAAATAAATATGATTGGATTCTAGGTACAACGACAGTCTTATGCTTATTGATCATATCCTTAGCAATAATCACTGTCTCAGGATCCAACTCCCAAGGAGCAACAGAAAATTCCATCACAGGCATAAATGCTGCTACCTCCATCCACCTGATATACAATTCTTTATCCATGGTATTTAGATCAGCATTTCCCCCAATAATCCCAGGGATTACAAAAGAATAACCCAACACAGATAAAGCTAGAGCTGTAGGGATGACACTTTTGAGGCCAAAGTTATAGCCCCAATTTGTTTGTCTTCCAAACATTTTTATAACAATTGGCAAATGCTGTGATCTAGAGGCAGCCTCCAGCTGTACTGGCATATTTAAGGCGGCCACCATGTCTGCATACAGCTTTGTATAGTAATCAATATCACTCAAAGGATTCTCAAATGTTGGACTAGCAGGGAGCAATCCCTTGCCCCCAAAGGTAAAAGAGTCTATTCCATAGGTCTGTGCAAGGTCTCCCAGCTTCTGCTGAAACCATGCAGTAGCATCCCCATTTGTAGGGTCTAACACGGCAGCCACCTCATCATCATGGGAAAGGGTTAAGCCACTGACCTGGTTATTTGGGCCACGCACCCAGTAATTTTTAAAAACTCCTTCAACAAATGCTTTTGACTCCACATTCACAAATGGGTGGATCCACAAGGCCAACTTAAAGCCCATAGTTTTTAGTTGCCCAGATAGCATTGAGATGTTTGGGAATTTGGAGGTATCAAAAATCAAGTCCCCATGCACTGCTTGCCAGTGGTCACTGATTTCTAAGTAGCTGCTATGAAAATCATTTTCTTTGATTTTTCTCGCAAAGTCAAGCACTTTATCCTGTTTAAGCTCACCTCTGTGTGTCATTGTCCACACAGGATTGTCAATCATGGGTTTGAGTATATTATAGTTATTATTGCTTCTTGGTGTGGGTAGTAGTGACTGCAGTGCAAACTCCTGCACCTTCCTTGCATTATGACCAACACATATCCTGTACCTGAGAAAATTTGTGTCTGTTCTGGTTCTATTGATTTCTGGAAATGGGGAATCTTGGAAGCGGCCATGGAGGCAAAGTTTGCTATCATTGTTTTGATTCAGACTAACGTGCAAAGGGACATCATAGTCAACAACCAAAACAGCTCCCTGTGACTGTAACAGGTAACGTTCTAATACCTGTCCAAAACGGTCCCCAAGTCTATTCCTTCCTGATAGGAAAGGTGAAAGTTTTATATGCTTTTTCTCTAGTGGCCACATCTGGGGGTCAAGCTCACCCATACCATACCAATGCCCACTGTCTAAGTTAAAGCAGTCTTTAGGCTCATGGAGTGGATTCAGCCCTTCCCATGAAATATTGTAGCATTTGTTTCCTCCTAAAACTTCATATTTGATTTCTAGCCTTGCATAGTATTTCCACTTCAAACATAGTTCTGTGGTTTTATCTTCTTCTAAAGAACATTTACTTGGCAGGGAATGGTATGGAATATTCAAACCAAGATTTCCCAAAAGAATGTCATCTCTTACATTGTCTTCATTTACATTGATCCGATCAATGTGTAAAACCCTAGTGTCTTCCTGAAAGCGAATTTTGCGGCCAATCTCAATAAGGTACTGTTGTTCATGATAAAAGTGGTAAATGAGGATCACTGCAATCACTATAAATACAAACAGAATTCCCACAAATGCCTTGAGTTTATATTCACGCTTTTTTCTTGGTTTTGCTGACTTAGGTGACTCCTATAAAGTAAAAATATAAAAAGCCTTTTAATTGTTTTAAAAGTGACAAATCAAAGGAAGCAATATGTTGTCAAAATAATGTTATAATCACAAAGCATAGTAATCTATATTTGTTGAATAGCTTCAAGTTCTACTGGCTCATGTTTACAACATCTTTTTATGACAACTGGAAAAATCAAAACTATTATTTGATCAATCATGAGTGCTACAAATGGCAAAAAATTGCAATTCTTTCAACTGAGTAGAAAAATAAAAACATGAATAAAAATCCAATCATTTAAATTGATGAGATTAGTAATATTGATGTGGGATGCTGAGAAAAAGTAGGAAAAGAAATGAAACTGTCTTGACAACTTTAAATTCAATAGAACATTTCCCCTTTTTTCTTTATTTTGGAAAATACATTGTCAAGTGGATCCATTTAGTTTTATCAGTAAAAATAATTCATTATAAAACATTCTAAAACAATGCAGGTTTTCCTCAAAGAAAAAAATGCTTCCCCTCTTATGGATAATTTTTGCATAGGTTTTTAAATATTTTTTGCAACTTTGTATGTGATGCTGGTGAAGGCCATCATTTACACACTGTGGCATTGCCCACTCACATTTATTCAAATGCATCCACGCTTCATACTAGAACAAAGCCAATTATTTATAACTGTGGTTCAAATTTCATGGCCCTTTCAAGTGCAGTCATAAAACAAGTGTACACAGGGGTGGAGTGTAAATATAGCTAGTACTTCATCAACAAGCTCCACATATGCATCACCATGCAGATTTGTAATCAAAAACCAGTATGCCACAGGACTGGTGTCCAAACTGTTGCACCCTGCCTAATGATGGAAAGGTCACTTACAATAAATATTGGATTGCTACTAGCAATTACTTTTTTCTGAAATGAACTTACTTGACTGACAATTATTGGCATAGGACAAATATCATCATACTACAATAATTTCTGCTAGACTATTACTGCTATTTATCACTTCTATAATTTGGAAGATAATAGGGAACACAGTTTTTATTAATTTGGTTAAATGCGCAAAATGCAATTTATCATATTTCAATTATCACCTTTGTAGCTTTTATGTCTCCATTTGTGTCTTTGTTCTTTGCATCTCCTCCTGCATTGATACTTCCTAAAGTAGGGACGACTATGGTTATTCCTTCATTATCTACATCAGCTTGATTTTCACCATTAGCTGTCGGTGTTTCATTTTCTTCTTTACTTTCATTTTCTTTTTCAACCTCTTTCTCACTCTCATCATTTTCTTCTTCAATCAGATTGCTGCCAGAATCCTTCTTTTTTGTGGATAACATGTTGAAAATTTCTTCTAGTCCTGGAATTTGATTTTAACAAAGTACTTTAGATCTATGGATTAAGGCAAAACCTTAAAACAATTTTGGAATTGCAATGTTACCTCAACTTTGTGATATTAAACGTTACTTATGATAATAATTTTTGCGAGAAGTTTCACTCTTATGAGTTATACATGTACTAGTGTTTGGATTTTGTTTGAAATAATATTTTTAACTGGAACTCGGTGGCAGAATAAAACCGACATCTATACAAACCCACCATATAGCTACACCATATCCAATGTATAGTTTTATTATAGAAGGAGGAAATGTCGTTCCCCAGTTATTTTCCATTTTTAAGTCGACCTTTTTTTTCAAAGGAAAGTGCAGTTTATCTAAATAAAAACGCCCTTTGGGATCAAGCAAAAGTCAACTTACTCTAGGAGGTTATCTGAGACACTCCGTGGGTTTTTAACTTCTGTTACTCAGGAAGGTTCCTTGTTACTGACTTCTCAGCTGACCTTGAACTTTGCTCACTCTCCCCCCCCCCCCCAAACTTCCCCCTCTTGGACTTCAGCATTCTTTCCACATCATATGACAGAAATATTAGCTGATCTTTCAGTTATCATGGTGTTTTTGTGTCTGTTGATTCAAATGGTGCTTTCGAATAAGAGTGTTAACGGGCCTAAAACTTCGTGTTTACCCTTACAGTGTGTACACACTAGCGGTGTGTACTGGTGTGTTCGGATGTTTCCGTCCTAAACTTTTGAGTTTAGAGCATGTAAGGAATATAAATCAAAATAGTAATAATGTAGTATTTCATTTATCCAATTTAACACACTATTCATATAATATTTATTAGCATCATTTTAAACATAAATTTATCATTCGGGTATGTCCGTATGGTAATGAAGCACATGTCATTTCACAGCGGCGTGGAGTGAAAATGGCGAACAATTATTTTGGATTTACACAAGGTGCCACGCATTATACGTAAGTCAGTGCATAAAAAGTACATATCAGGGCAAAAGTTAGTGTGTTTCTGATGAAGTGAGATCGGTTCATTTTAGATAATAATATGCCTGGAACGTCAAATGTCGTTTTCCTTTATTTACCTACTCTTTAAAAATTCAAGATGGCTACCTTACCAAAATCGGAATTAGCCGACGGTAAAGGACGTTCTTTGTACTTACCGTCGGTGATGATACAAATTTGTTTTAGAATTCATGTTTTGCAGCCCCATGTAAACTAACTCGACTATGCGCATGTTTGCATCCTTTATGTAGATTAGTGACTGCAAACCGACCGACACCAGTAATAACGGAATGAGAAAAAATTGAGGCGTGGGAGGATAGAAAAAATGAGAATGTGATAAGCCTGAGCAATTTTCTATGACCAACTGCTCATCGAACTATTGAGTTCACACAAACTAAATTCCATATGAGTATGCATTGTATTTTAAAGAAATGCGATATGCCGTTGAACAATGATAAAACCTTCTGAAGTAGAAAATAACATTTACAACAACCACCATTGAGAATCCAATAAATTGTACCTTTTAAGAACTTGCTATCAAACAAACATAAAGACAAGTAATCTCATCGCTTCCTCTTGTTTAAGGTGAAGTAAGATAAATCCACAAGTATATCTTATTTAAATTGAATTCTTTATTTAGGGCACAGCCAGCAGCCTATCCTGCAGCACAAACTGCTTATGTCCATCAGGCTGCTCCAGCTGCTTATGCCACTGCAGCTACGCCCAGGCCTACCTATGAAACCTATCAGACTGCAGCCACAACTCAGTATGCCTATGCTACAAGGACTCCGGTAATAGTTAATGTAAAAACCAATTCTTGTGCTTTTTATTCAAGTGTACATTCTTGCAGTCTTTAATATAGAGTCCATTGTTTTGCATGGATAAGTGAATGGTTTTAAAACGGAATACAATTAGAAGTAGAATTTGAAAAGGACTCCTTTATTCTGCACTCGCTAATACTCTTCAAAATGTCAGTGTACAAGTGGTTTTCTTATATGTAATTGGGCTTTGAAATATCTTTTAACTTGCCTTGCACCAACATTCTTCTTGAAATATACAGTAAATCGAATGATCCAGAGAGTTTTTGCCATTTGTACTTTATATCTGGTATTTGTATGCGTCATCCTAATCATATTCTTTATCAAGAATAAGGCATCAGTTGATTGTGTAAATTCAGCTTTGCTTAAGTAACACACATGCAGGATAGTTGATTCTTGATGCAGAATATGAGAAAGTTCACGACTAGTACGTTTTGGTAAAAGCTTTCTGTTTAACTTTTAAAGATTTGATCATTAAAATGTTGCAGCTAAAGTACCTTCCTTTTGAGGACAGGAACTTTGCAGAATTCAAGGAGTACTTCTTTATCATCTAGCTTTGTAATTTACCTTTGTTTTCACAATATGCTGCAACCCCTGTTTTTGCACATTTTGTGTGAAATACATCATCTTGATGAAGCACTTCACATCATGTGGGAAAATCAGTCAAAATGCGTAAGAAGAGGGGCGCAGTTCTAATCAGATATGTCCAAGCTTTTTCTCATTTGAATCAGACATGCATTTCTTATACTTTGAACAACTGGGGTACAAATAGTGAAATGAAACACTCTTAATCAGGATTAGTATTTGCATACTGCAATGTGAGTTAAGTGATTGACATATCTGTTTAGAAAAGTGTGTTATAAAATGCCTTTTCTGTACCACCAGCTAAAAGATTTTGGGATTGTAAAATTATTGGGTCAGGATCTTTTTCTCTTTTTTAGGTTTTATTTTAGGGTATTCTTTGCACTGTTAAGGTTTTTTATATTATTATATTAATTGTCTGACTTTAAATATTTGGGTGGGTGGTTGTGCTTTATGTTGCAATGTTGAAAAAAATTTAGTCCTCAAACAAATGCAGAGATGAGGAATGTAAAATATTGGCTGTTTATATATTTTTGCCAACTCAGTTTTTGGTATGGAAGTAGCTGGTGATACATAGAGTCATAATTGACTTGTTCTGAGCTCACTCTGTCATCAAGAAGTTGAAACTCGTGGTTTATGAAGTATTGTCTATTGGAAAACAGTCTGTTTCTAATAATAGATAAAGTTAATAAATATTGTATATGGGAAATCTGGAGAATTAAAAAAAAACAATCTCATCTTTTGTATTAATATGTCAGAGTGATCACAGATGTGGAATGTCTAGTTATAATTATCATGGCAGTTTCAAATTTTCAGAGGGAATTTGAAAGAATTGTCCAGTTTCAATGATCTTTGGTACTTCAACAAAGCAGTCAGTTTTTGCCAATTGTTTATTCATTTCAAATTCCCTTTGAGATTCTTCTCTCCAATGATTGTATCTTTTTACTAACTGCAGCCCAATTTACAGGTCAATCACAACTTGACACCCGTCGTACCGGTGAGTAGATGGCTATCATGTAATATAATAATCATTTAGTTAACATTTGCCTGTGCAATGTAACATGGGCAATAGTCATCAGAAAACAGAACAACAGATTTTACACAAACAGTAGCTTGTTTATTGTTTGTTGAATTGTATTGACCTGTAAAAGAATTTGAGGTGTAGTTTGCTTGTAACTGGGGAGAAAATCAAAGTGGCATAAGATGCAGATCATTTTAACTGCTCCTCCCCCCTTTTTAAAACTTGGTTTCTAGAATTGCCACTGGGGTTTAAGACCTTATCTGCAACCCAAAAATGAATAAAATAAATTGGAATTGTAAAGATTGATGATTGAAAATAAATGGATGGTGGTAAGGTAGATTCCTGCTTAGTAGAAAGAAAGACAGGTCAGCAGTGTGATTCAGTACCATCAGAATGCCATTTAGTAGCCTTGCACCTATGTTGTCATTGGATGTGTTTCAACTGGTCTCTTTTATTTTATGGTGTGAGATTGTGTTTGTACATTTACAATAGGAAATACAAGACTGGTGTAGTGAAAATGAACCTCATAATCTTGAAAGCAACATACATTTCGGCTAATTGAAAATAAGTTAGTGTAGTAATTGTATGTTTTTTTATGGAATTCATGGTGCCTAGTCTTCAATGAGAAATTGTGAAGTAAATGGTAAGAGATGTACTGTTTATAATATTTTTTATCTTGGTTCTTTTGTAACATGTTTACAATGCCCTTGCCTTGTAGGCTGCTGCCACTTATGACACAACAAAGACGTACTATCAGCCAGCAGCACAGCCAGCATATACTGTAGCCACAGAGACTCATTATCAGACTAGTAAGTTTTCATGAAAAAGTAGATAAAAGCCTTTTCAATAATCTGCGATTTTTCCATCATATAGAACTTTCCCCAAGCGTATTTGAATTTTTTCCTTGCGTTATTTAAATATTTAACTATATTATATGGCAAATAGAATACTAGTTGGTTAACACTTATACTCTCTCATTAGGTAAACCAGCCTACTCTGGTGCCACAACATATGCTAGTCAGCCCCGTGTACAGACATCTGCACAGAAAAGTGCATCCACATATGTGTACCCAGCATCTGGTGCAACGACAACACAGTCGACGACTTCATACACCTCCACTCCAGCATATGCTACCACTACTTCTGGGGCCACATATTCAGGTATTAAGAATACATGTGTTTCTTTCTGTCAGTAAGTGGGTCACAGTTTCCCATGCATTCTTAGGTTTATTTCAAAAGGATTTTGTGGGAGAACAATTTGTATTAGAAAAAAATTTTTTGTGACACATAAGAAGTTGGTGGTGGTGAAGTGAAGTTCTTATTGCGATATGGAAGATCATTATCTTTCATCGTTTGCCTTTCCAAGCAGGCTATGATGCTGCTCTCTACTCTGCAGCCACCAACTACTACCAGCAACAGCAAGCAGCTAAGACTGGGACTACATACTACAAGAAGGGGCCGACAACCACCTTCCAGAAGAAGGACAAGAAAGTTCCTCCAAAACAGCCACAGCTGCACTATTGTGATGTGTGTAAGATCAGCTGTGCCGGACCACAGGTAAGATCAGATTTCAGTATGTTAGTCTTTTGATTGACAAGAGTGGTGATATTTTTGGAGTCCTTTCCTGCATTTAAAAAAAATATATTTATTATTATTATTTTGTTTTCTGTGGGTCTGGCCCTCTGACAAATAAAGGAGAAATGCAAACTGTCTGTTGAAAAAAATTATATTGCTTTTGTAAGATTAAGTTAGTCCTATAACAACAGGCATTCCTGCTTTGTGTTCCAGACTTACAGGGAGCACTTGGAAGGACAGAAGCACAAGAAGAAGGAAGCTGCCATGAAGGGTACAACTCAGCCCACTGGCCGGCCTGGTCAGAACCAGCTCCGCTGTGAGCTTTGTGATGTGGCCTGCACTGGGGCTGATGCCTATGCTGCCCACATTAGAGGTGCCAAACATCAGAAAGTGAGTCTGAGTGTTAATTGCCTGTCTTCAATTAAAAATAACATAGGTGATGCAGTAGAGATTCCATCTAGAAAATCGGAAATAAAGATGAGTGGTATTTGCTACATGGCACTTTGCTGCACAGAAGCTTGAAATTGATTAAAAAAACTTGATGATGATTATATATCTTTGTTTTACAGGTATTAAAACTGCACACAAAATTGGGAAAGCCAATTCCTTCTACTGAACCTACAGTGGTTACCCTTGGTGCTGGGAATGCTACCACTGCCACTACTGTGAAGGTTGTCACTTCCTCCCAAGCTACGGCAGTGGCAGCAGCTCCTGTCCCTACAGCCTCTGCCAAAACTGTCACCAAGACTATTGTCACTGCCACTGGAACAAAAAAAGTGCTGGCAACGCCCAAGATAACATTTGTTGGTAAGTTCAAATTTTCTGGCATTAAAAAGGTCAGTGTCTAGAGGCAAAGCATTCCTTGCTCTTTTCTTGAAGTGAATTTAGAATGGGTAAAGTTTTTTATGCTGTGCAAATTTTGAGCTAACTGTAAAAACGTTTTGGGGACCTCTGGGTGGAATTTTGATGAGTTTATTTTCATACTTTAGGTGGGAGCCAACTGAAGACCACAGGAACAAAGATGGAGGAGGTGAAGCCAGAGCCAGTCATGGAACCCAAGCAAGAAGTACCCACAGAATCCAGCACAGCTAGTTTGTCCAGCATCCTGGGAGAGAAGGATGTCCAGCCAGTAGGCCATGAGTACATTGAGGAAGTGAAGAATGAACAGGGCAAGACTATTAGTTTCAACTGCAAGTTGTGCGAGTGCAAGTTTAATGATCCTAATGCCAAGGAAATGCACATGAAGGGGAGACGCCATCGCCTTCAGTACAAGGTAAAGATTTTGTAAGGGAACTTGCGTGATAAGTACACTGTGGTGCATTTATCCAAATAAATTCAAGTTTTATAAAGGATTGTATCATTTGAAGTTTTGATATACATTTTAATTTATGACATGGGCAAGGTGCAAGTTCAGGTAGATTGTGGCAAAGTGCCAATTAATATCTTTCGTAAGCATTTTGCCATTTTACTAAGGTGAGATACCAACTGACAATATAACACTTCATGTTACTTTCTTACAAATGTAGTGCTATGCACTTCAAGTCACATATTCAGTCTGTTAATCAAATGTATAAAAATTGAAATGCCTACTTAATTTAAAGTTTTGCTGCTACTCCTGGTTTGTGCTTAATGTCTTAAATTCAGATTTACAACTGCTTGTATTTTATGATGCTTTTAATGTTTTAACTCTGACAGAATGAACGTAAGGTGCCAGTTTCTTATCGCATTTTGGAATTTTTAATAGATTGGTATTCTTTTTATGCTTTGTACCTAATTTGTAAGCACATGTTTGAGGTTTGTTCTCTTACAGGCCTCGCGAGGTGGATAACTGCTTGAGGTGACTGGTCACAGATCTGTCCCACAAGGGTGCTTTCCTTTTGATACTCACTATTTCTGTTTAGAAGGGGATCTCTTTATGTTTTTTAGAAAAAAGTAGATCCCAAGTTGGAAGTGGATGTGAAGCCCAGTAATCGTAACTTCAAGAAGCTGCAGAAAGAAAAGATGAAATTTCAACAACAGAGGACTAGAAATATGTAAGGGTTATCATTTTTTGTGCATTTTAATAATCTTCTCACATTTCCCTGTCAATTTGTTTGATCTGTAGAAAAAAGTGGATCCCAAACTCCAAGTGGATATCAAACCCAGCATCCGGGTTCGCAAGATACAAGAGGAAAAAATGAAGCGCCAGCAACAGAAAGAGGAGTACTGGAGGCGCCGAGACCAGGAAGAGAAATGGATGGAAGAGATGAGGCAAGCCTGGGATTGGCTGGTCTAACCCCAGGAATAATTACTGGGGCTAGGCTGTCAGAAGATTGGGAAATTAAGGGTCCTTTAAATGGGTCTCAAATTCATTCCTGGTTATACTTAAGATTTGATGTTGATTTCATGTTTAACCCTCATTATTTTTTCCCCCCAGTACTTCAAAATTCTTTTTGTTATGGGCAATCAATTCATTGTCGCAAGAAGTTTTTGGTTATTTGTTTCATTTCTTTTGTAAAATCTACATACATTTTGTAACTTTATTACTTGGCCTTTTATTCAGTAGGTCAATTATGTGTGCCTTGTCTCTTTTTACCTGCAATTATT